CAGACGCCCGCGATCGGTTGGCGCTTTTGTCCGGCAGGGCGCCTAAGCCGAAGGCGTGACCTGGAGGGAACCCGGGGCGAGGCTTTCCCCCGAATATCCTCGGGGTGTCCAGAGGATATTCGAGACATTCACCCCCCCAGCCAGCCCCGGGCGGGGGGGTTCGGGGGTGGCATCAGCCAGCTCCCCTCGCCACTCCGCAGTCCGGCTGCCCCGGTCCAGAGCATCCCGAATGGAAGGGAACGGCGTCAGACGGGGAAGGGCACCAGGTCTGAGGCTCGCTGCAGGTGATCTGGGACAAGTCTATTTCTTCCTTCCTTCAACTGATGGAGCACCTAATATGTGCCAGGCCTTGGCGGTAAAATATGGTCTCTGCCGAGGCAAAAGAACCATCTAGCTAATAATCCCTCCTGCACATCACTATGAGGTTGAAATGAGTTAAGGTATGAAAACATTGGGAGCAGTGTTTTAATCTCCGCTGGTTGGTTAACCCTCCTCAAGCAGATCCCAGTAAGCCACTTTCTAGCGCTTCCACTCCCCCTACCACAGCAGCGGGGTGGACTCTAGGAGGAGCCTGGCAGAATGGTCCCAGCGATAGCTCCAGGACTGTGCAAGCAAGCTCAGATCACTGGTTGCCATCACTATCAATTCCCTGTCTATGTCTTTGAGGAACACCACTGGTCCAGGTCAGCCTCCTCTGATATGGGCAGGGGTAGAGAAGAGGCCCTTGCTTGGGAGGGGACAGCCCAAGTCCTCAAGGACTCTTCCCCTTGGAGATCTGCCACAAGTGATTTTTGTCACCTTCTCCCTGGCCTCTGGGGCACAGTCCCCTTTAACAATCTGGTCAAGAGTGGACTCAGCCTGTTCCCTCCATCCCCAAAGGTCCTCTGAGGCCAGGACACAGGGTCCAAAAGAGGCTACGCCAGACACAAGGTAACCAGCATCGCAGGAATCTGACTTTAGCAACAGGTTGGCTCTTGGCCCAAGCCTGCCCTGCGTCAAGACACCCCCTGCAAGGCAGAGCCACAGTCCTGCCAGGCATGGCTAGCCTGTCTCTAATAATCCTCTTCCTGATAGGACTTGGAGGTTTGCAGACCTGCACTTGCCATTTGGCTTTCCGGAAGTTTACTGTCCCTTTCTCACAGTGGCAGATGTCAGGGCCAGACTCATCCTTGTAGGCCCGGTTCGTACAGTTTCACACCTTCATCACTGACTCCCTTCACTCACTGCTTCCTCTTCTATCTCTCTCTCCTGACCTGACAGGTTCTGAGACCTTCTTCCCATTAGCAGTGGGCCCTGGCTGGGATGGTGTTCCAGCTGCTCTCATTTAAGGGACTTCACTTCCTTGGTTCTCCATGGGCCTCAGAGTCTGCAGCCCCATCCCAGGTCCCTTCTGAGCAGCCTTACTTCTCCACACGGGCTATTTTCTGAGGATTCTCTTCTGGAGCTGGGGCCCACCACCCTGTAGCATTTCTTAGGATCTGATGCTTGGCCCTGACCCCGTGAGTATCGCCTCTATGCAGCCTGTCACTCCACTGAAGTGCTCCCCACTGCACCTTCTCCTCAGCTCTGCAACCTGTTGCTTCCTACACCCACAAACTACACCTCTTTCCCTCCTTGGAGTTGGGTGCACTACCCACCATTTCAGTCCTCTGTTGGAGCCCCGGCCCCTGCCCTTCCAGTGGATGAGGACAGAGCTCTGCATAACTGGAGCACTGGCCACCCCAGAGGTGTTAGCTAGGTCTGTCTCCCTCCTTGGAGGGAGGCTAGAAAATGGGCAGGAATGGCTGGGCATGGTGGCTCATGCCTATAATCCCAGCAGTTTGGGAGGCCAAGGTGAGAGGATTGCCTGAACCCACAGGTTCGAAACCAGCCCGGGCAACTTGGCGAGACCTCATCTCTACAATAAATCAAAAAATTAGCCGGGCATGGTGGCGCATGCCTGCAGTTCCAGCTACTTGGAAGGCTGAGATGGAAGGATAGCCTGAGCCCAGCAGGTCGAGGCTGCAGTGGCTG